ACGATGCTGCGCAAGAGGTCAGTCATCTCAGACGAGGTAGCAGAAGATATACTCACTTGGATCCCTCCACCTCTGCGGTCACTTCTCGGTGGGAGGTCGTTGCTGTACAGATCGGGCCGGGAGATATGTGCTGTTTGTCGGATCGTAGAAGGGATGGGTTAGGTTCTAGCATGACGAATCCTTCGGGCACACCGTGCACATTGATGGGATGGTCCGCAGGATGAAGAGCGTTGAAGAGCCGGATGAACGCTCCCTCACTCACGTATCCGACGTCCCCGATCTCGACCTCGCCAAACGACCCCTCCGTGGGCTCCGGGTACCAAAGAGGTAGTCCATGTCCTCGGCCAACGAGTTGCTCCGCGTAGTCGACAGCTGGGCAAGAGGTCGACATGCGATGAGACAGAAAGGAGATCGATGGGCTGACGCTTTGCTATTCCCATAGCAGATATATAGTATCTTCCTGGCTAGCACAGCCCTCCGTATAGCGTTCTGTCAGTTCACGTTCACAGCCAATGTCGCAAGAACTCACATGTTCTTCCTTCTCGTGGGCTGCGGAAGACAAAATTACTCCACGAATGCTCCGCGTTCGTGGAATGCAGAAGATAGAGTTCTCACTACCACAATCTATTTTTAGCAATGTGTGTAAAAAGAACGGTAGATAGATAGTATAATCGACATTTATAGGTTCCAGGAGGCGTTCTTTCATCGACACTTTTGTGACGAGCCTCGAGTACAGCTGAATAGGCGAGAGCAGAGAGCAAGGGTGCCAGGAGTAGGCGGTGTACAGCCTACCTTTCTGGTGTAGTGCTGCCACACGCTCTCACGTATTTTCCCTGCTAGCACCAGATCTTCCCTGCCAGCGGCAACTTGAACGGAACGTGCGAGGATCATGCATGCATTCACGTCGGGGGCGGCTGTGAGCACCAGATAGTATCACAATGGGTCAGCATTCTTGTCACATACCCACGTAACCATTGGATACAGGTGGGTATCGATTGGAGATTAATATACATGCTGTGTCCTGCAGTCGCCATTAATCAAGCCATACTCAAGAAGAATCAGCTCACGTACCCTAGAAATTATCTTAACACCAACTTGTCTAATCTGTTTGGGGCTCTTAATTAGACGCATACACGCCTCGCGTGCTATCGAAGTTGTCGAGGATGTTAGCCAGTCCAGCGCACATGAATACGGACCAAAAATGCGCCTTCGTAGTTGTCGTTGGAAACAATAGCCACAGTACTGACTTCGTGCAAGGTCGGCGCGCATGAGGTGGATTATGAACTTGTCTTTATCGATGCCTCTAATGAGGCGGCGGCGGCGAACTTCAGCGGGCTCGGGGAACATCTAGATGACGCGTGTGCATTCAACAACGCGCGCTCTCGCTCTCTTCCGGCGGGTATATTAGACTAGACGTACGTAGAAGAGATGGACGTACTGTGGTGACATACTGGATGCGACTGCAGGCCTCGCTTCTTTTTGCCCCTCTCACCCTAGATTCGCATGTATTGAACACCACCCCGGCGTGACTACATGCGCCACCACTTACCCGCAATAAGCGCAAGCTCCCCGACCCTTTATGCATGCGTCTCGTTTTAGTGGCTGAGTGTTTTCCTGTGATCCTCTTCTGGGTCAAGTGTGTGGTCTTCCTGCACGTGTTCTCTGTACGTGCATTCTTCGCATGATGCGAGACAGCTTGGAGAAAATCGCGCGTTGAGGTCTCTTAGGCTTCAGCGTGCAAATCGACTTGGGAGTTCTGCTGCGCGAGAATGGCGGCGAGGTCGAGTTTGTGGACGCGACGGGAGTGCGCCGTCGTGTCTACTGCGTAAGTTACGATTGTCGGCGCCTCTTCTCTGGGCGGGTATCGCGTATTTTACCTGAATCACCTCGCTTTGCTTAATACTTATGCAGGAACGACGAGACCTAAGCACTTAGCTCTGTCTTTCGGCTCCGTTATCTGCGAAGTGCGGTCCTCGGTGGGTGTTAGAGACCAACAGCCACTGGCGTACTGACACCTCTTCTAGCCAACTATGTACCATTAGACTCAGAAGAAAGGGGTGTAGCAGAGACGTCTTCCAAGACTGAACACGGACGTCCTGTACGAGATGGTTCTAGAGCTATGCACTAGAGACCTGGCGAGAGCAGCTCTGGTTTCTAAAGATTGGCTGCCTATCGCACGATCCAACCTCTACCACATCAGTAAGATCACAAGGTGTCTTTTTGGACTTCTATGTACTTCTGACTTTTTTGGCTGTACTTTTACTTTTGAGCCTGGTCTTCTTGTGGTCTTTTCTACTGTCTTTTCAAGTACTTCTGGTTTCAGATGCTGCCCCTGCTGAAATGCAGATTTATGTGTATTTGATCTTGCTTACCATCCACAGAACGTGTCTGGCAGCGATTTCGAGCTTGTACGGAGACTGCTCGGGTGCTCGGGTGCTGGTTTTCGAATGCTGATCCGATAACGGGCTTTGCCGGTACCAGCCGTCGATGAGCGAAAAATGTCTAAGTTTTTGTTCTCCCCTAACCACCAATGCCCTCCCTCCCTAGTTATTCATTGCCTCCCAGTCTCGACATACTCCATTATGATTGCGTCTATATGCAGACCAACCATGAATGATGGCCAAGCTGATTTGAGACTCTCGTCATGTCCTCGTCACTCGTCATGTCTCTGTCGCTCGAGCTCGGCCAGTTTTCTCGTTCGATGCATTGGCCACGGTGCGCAATAACTAAGGTGCGTTGATGGATAAGTATGTAAGTGTATCGCGCACTCAGTCTCACTGTCGCCATGGTTACGCCGAAGTCAATACCACTTCAGGCAGACGTCAAAGGTCTACGGTGCACCCCTCCTCCCTCCTCTAGCTCCTGTAGTTTAAACAGACCTGCTCACAGCTAAGTTCGATATAGTTCTCTGGGAGAATAGTCACGTAACACAATCGGCTGTCTCAAGATCACGTCCCTCTCCAGCGCCGCCGATAAAGCACGATAGGCCTTACTCATAACTCAAGGTACACGCAAATTCCTCGTAAATGCTTATGCTGAAGTTCAACAGATGTGTTATATTTGTGCCAAAGGACTTACTTAACAGCAAGAAGTGTAGATCGGGCGAGCCACACGCGCAGGCTGGTGAGCGCTGGCTCCGCATGCATCTCGCAGGTGCCGGAGAAGCAGAAGAGCAAGTTGTCGGAGTGCCTCGGAGTAATGACCGGAGCATGGTTGTGAAGGTGCGTGGTCATGGTCATCTAGCAATATAAGTAAGTCTGGGCAGCCGTCGCAGGTCAGCAATGACCTTTCCAAGGCGTATGTCATGCTGTACTCAAAAGAGCAGACTGATGACCAGCTGCATGGCATTGACAATCATGAGTAGGAGTTCTGAATGGTGTTAATGGACATTAGCATCTCACCATCTGCGTCACCACCACCCAGTCAGCCTGTGAGGACCCGGGCGACTGTGGCCGTGATATTGCAGCTGGCACAGCGGCCATCGTATTAGATGCATAGACCTATATCTGCCGCTATCATGTAGATTATCTACTGTGTTTACTTATCTGCACAATCCTCAGGCTGGAATACACATTTGTCGCACTACTGTCCTATTGATGTGATCCGAGCCTCCAAGGATGGCGCTATTGCTGTCCATGCAGCTTTTTCGATGTCTTATTTGTTGTCTTATAGGGGTATTTTTGGGGTCTTATATGACTTCTCATAAGTACACCTGACTTCTGAAAGTAAGGTACATGGCTTCCAGAAGACACCTGTACTTATGTACTTTTCTGTACTTTTTGGTCTTTTATGACTTCTCATAAGTCCAAAAAGACACCATGTGATCTTACTGATG